CCTAGGATATGAAACTCCCCCTTCCCCAAACCCACCATGATTTTTGAGGCAATAATAAAATCTTGAACATTTAGACAAAAATGACAGCCTATCATAGCATTCTCACCTGTGAGGGAAAGTCTATACAACTAACTTGGTCTAACAAACCAAGTTTGTAGATGGGAAACATGCACTGTGTCTACATATTCTGTCCTCCCTTGTGCTTCCATGCTCAAGCCCATCGCAGGACTGCCATGGTTTGTTCAAATCAGTTTTGGGCCAACTTCTGAGCATAACCTGGGATCAGATCCTTGATATCTTGATTTGCAGTTAGAAATTAAACTACTGTACTGGCTTGTAGACTCAGATACAATGAAAAACCGTAATTCAGCAAACTGCAAGTGTTCTATATGGCAAATGAGAAAAGGGATAAGTGAATCCATGGTTACAATGTTTATTCTCAGAATAATAATAGGCCTTGAAATAGGCTTTAAGCACTATTGTCTATCTTCCTATTGTTACCAAGATACATTGGATAAAAAGGCAATGATGTGAAAGTAGTACATTATTAATTAAATGCTTAAACACATAGTATTTTCATGCATTATATGAATAACCGATCTGCAGTATCCATTCATTGTTGATAGAGGTGAAAAGAAGTTACTGAATTTTCACCTCTTCTACCTTCTCAACATAGCTATGAGCAGAAAGGCCCTAGCTTGTTTCCATTTCAGCTATGGGTGAATGGCACTGATCACAGTACCTTAGGGTAGAGTGTATCAATTTCAATAATAACCCTTTCCCATGTAATCTGAACCTGATTAAATGTTGTATGCATGGAACCAATCAAGTTGTGTATGTTTACAATTATAGGCTACATCAAAAAGAATGGTTTTAATGAGGCAAATATATGGTATCTAATTCTTACATGTCACATGAATGCATGGTAGCAAGAATTAGTTTAAATTTTCACAAATCTCTGAAATGCCTGGGCCAAACCACTGTGCTCTTGGCAGCTTAACTGCAAATGCTTCTGTGACTGATTGCAATGCTAGTAGCATAACGTATCATGCTTCTTTTGCTGTGCTGGTTTAGCAACTGGCGTGCTCCATCGAAAGCATATTTGTTAATGTCCCAAAGCGCTAAGATCAAGTGGAACAATTTAAGCCTTCTATGCATCTTGTCACAATAAATTAAATTAATGCATATCCAAAAGGCCAAGTCCAAATGTTAAAATAACAGATTTGGTTGAATGGCAATTAAAACCCCTATATACTAGGATATTGTAAGCCAAAACAAAATCAGTTTTGTCTTCTAGCCCAGGCAAAACCAAGTATTTAACTGACTAAAGGATGCAAATAGGATTGGCATGTGGAAGCCAAACAGGCGATGAAACCTCTGCCATTTGTCACAATAGGATCGAGAGATTAAATAATAATTTTTAAAATTAGCAGCCAATAGAAAATACATTTCAAAAACTAAAATAGAGAATTGAGGTCAAGTGTCTCAGAACAGCAAGAGATGTTGATTAGACACTTCCATACCTGAAACACGTCTGTTTTGTTCTTTAATAAAGTGATCTCCATCTGCTCATGCCCTTGGAAATCTTTCAGCAGTTCAGCCTGCTGTGTTCAAACCCCCACATAACTCTGCACTTTCCTGTTCATAATTAGGTAATTATGCTCTAATCAATACTGTAGATCCTGATTTTACAATGTAAATAAGATAAATGAGATAATGGCTGGGGGTCAATCTCATTTTATTTACAAAACCTTGCACGCCCGTCCAACTTCATTACAGTGCGCCTACCTGCACAAGAGGGAGTCTTATCAGCTGGCCTCCAGAAGTCTTAGAATAGACACTGGGGGAATGGGGGAGGAGGAAAACCTGGGTTTCTCTAAATGAAGAGTTAAAAGAAAAATGTGTGCATAGTTTGCATATTTGTAAGTCACCGCAGTACACTGCAAAAATAAAACCTCCTAAGAATGGAATACGTATTTTGTATTCAGAAGAGAACAACCACCGTTGGTTATAAAAAGGACTATCGAAACCCCTCTATTAGTAAGACAGTGTTTAAAGACAACTTCGTGAATTTTGTTTGCCAATACAAAAAACCTCACCCACATATGTATGCGCCATGGAATGGCATTCATGTTACCTACAAAAGTACAATTTGAACAATGTAGAAGTATGTTTTTTCCTGTAAGTCAAAGTATTACAATAAAATACACAACACTGCCACACTACAAAACAGCAAATAAGTTGGCATTCGAAAGAAGTAAAATTTCATTGGTCAGCTTACTATTTTACAGTATCATAAGGAAGATGGACAAATGAAGTAACAAAAAGGGAAAGAAAGAGTACAGTTTTATGCTGCAATTTTCATTGCTGTAGAACAGTCTTGCCTAAAGTTGGCACTAAGTGAGAAACATGCCAGGTATCTTGCAAATAAAATGACTGCCCCACTTCAATCACCCGTTTATAAAGTTATATTTGAAAGATTGTCTCATTAATATCACCTCAATTGTGACAGGCTTCAACTGGCGAGCTAATACCTTTTATGCAACTTTTGAGCCTTACATTGATAGATATCTATTTTTTTAATTTCCTTTGAATTTCCAACCCTTCTAAAATGTAAACAAATGTAACCCTTAATCATCAAGTTTTAACAGGGGATTAAGGAGAATGAGAAGTGATAAACAATATTCAAACAAATATTTCCATGCTTCTCACTCCAAAACCCAATGCACTATCTCCTACTGATACATTTTTGAAGCTGTAAAAGGATTTAAATATTACAATAGCCGTCCACATTAAAAGCCTCTTGTTTTGGCAGCGAGTAAAATGTGAGATCATTTTAAGTTCAGACAAGGACCAAAGAGGTAACATTTATAGAACAGGATGTGTAAATCTATGGAGTATACCTTATATAGAATCATAGAGGTGGAAGAGCCCAAATGGGTCATCCAGTCCAAATCCCTGTCATGTAAGAATACACATATGATATAACAAGGTCAAGCAGTTTTGATGTTTTGATTTTTTTCTTCACACACAGGTAGAACATCTCCGATTCAGAATTTCAAAATTGTCCATTAGAGTGAGTGAGATAGCAGCACCTTTGTTTTCTGATGGTTCACACACAATGTGTGTGTGTGTGTGTGTGTGTGAGATGCTCTTTAAAGTAAATCATTTCATCTTTAGATTTGGGTCCCACCTCCAATATATCTCATTATGTACATATATGGAAATACATGTATTCTAATTTTTGTAAGTAAACTCTTAAACACTTCTGGTTGCAAGCATTTCAGAAAAGGATATTCAACCTGTATAGGTTGAGTGCTAACATAATATTCATTATTCCATGCTTTACACTGTCCTTACTCTGGAGTTGTCTACCCAGCCATTATCAAATAACACACGATAATTTAAGATTATTCAATCAAAGTTTGTTAAACTGTATGTTTTTATTTCAAGTGATTCATTCTGAATTGGTATTTTGTGCTGAAAAAGTATTAAAATGCAACCTCAATCCAGAGCTTTCCCAATGGTGTGTTGTGATATCACAAGTGAGACTGGTGGGAACGAGAGACAGGGCCTTCTCAGTGGTGGCCCCTTGCCTGTGGAATTCACTCCCTGGGGAAATTAGGTCGTCAACATCCCTCCTCTCCTTCAGGAGAAAGCTGAAGATATGGGACCAGGCATTTGGGTAATCTGGCAGGGTAACAAGGTAATGATGACTAGAGTTGGAAAGGACTATGGCAATGCTAAATGGATTGATGGATTTTAGAACACGATGAACGCGGGCTATAGAGCGGTTTTAGTTGATATTGTATTGTGTTGTATTGTACTGTATTATCTGTTTTTAATCTATTGTGTTATTGCTATTGCATTTTATTGTAATTGTGGGCATCGAATTGTGCCGGATGTAAGCCGCCTTGAGTCCCCCCTAGGGGGTGAGGAAGGTGGGGTAGAAATGACCGAAATAATAAATAATAAATAAATTGTGATATGTTATTGTGTTGGCAGCAGTGTGTAGGTATGACACATGAACATAACGAGAAATGACAAAAATCTTTTTGTTTTTATCTTTCAAATCATTTTTTTTAAAAAAAAATATTCTTGAGGTATTTTGTGCCCCAATATATTTTATTATTACAATTTAGTATAATCCATATCTTTTCTAAGTGGTCTATGGTTTGCTATTGAAACTGAATTACTGTGTTGCAAAATGATGTATGTCTAAAAAGTGTGTTACCAATGTGAAATGGTTGGCAAGGGTTGGGGTTAGGGCATAAGATGCACATAGATCAAGCTAATTTCCAATCAAATGTCTAGAACTACAGTATTGCAGTGGAATTCTATGCATGACTGTCAGACATAAATCCCACTATACTCAGTGAAACTTACACTTACACAATTGTGTACAGAATTGATTTTGAAAATATGTGTATTTTCACTCTAAACCAAAATGCTGTAGAAAGAAGATATTCATTTCTTTCTGTGTTGATATTTATATGGGGAACTATTAGGAGATTTTGTAAACAACAATGTGCAGTACTGTTACTAGTACAAGCAATCTCCTTTTACATAACTAAAATCAGAAGAACGTATACATAAAATTCAGCAAGAATGCTAATGTAAAATGCATGGTATATGGATTCTGAATATAAAAATAATCATCTGCTGGTTAAGTTATGATTTTCCCTGTATACATGTTAAGATTTTTACAATTTCAGTAGATAATGAGGATATGTTTCTTAACATCTTTCATTTATTAGGACTATATGTTATTTCAACTCTACTCAGGTATATTGCAAAAATAAAAAAATAATAGTAATTTGCTGGGGGGCACTTTAATGGAAAATGAATTTAGTGTGAATTTATCCCAATATTTGTACTAAATGCTAACTAAATCACTGGTGTATCTAGCTTTATTTTACTTGATTTTCATGTATATATTTACATTCTGAATCCATCTTAACAGCATGACAGTCTTGACAAAATGCTTATTTGAAACAGTATAGCCAAGTTCAAGTTATTTTATTGAACACATCCAAATATGATACAGCCTGTAGCCCCATCCATAACCAAGAAAAAACACTAATTTATTATTTCTTATTATTGTATACATCCTCTTATTTTCCATTTTTATACTCTGGTTATACTTTTAACAGGAAATATATACCTTGTTAAATGCACCAAGAAACCAACACATTATTATTATTATTATTATTACTATTATTATTATTTAGAAATTTCAATACCATGGCTGTGATCCAACAAAGTGATAAGTGCGCAAAAGAAAATCTACCCAACGGCAGGCCTCTGAGATATTCCTCTACATCTGAAGAGCCAAGCCATCTTTTAATTTAAAAATACAACTTGCCCTTTCACCAATGGCAGCAAATGCTGTAAGTATTATAAAGAATCCTCCCACCCTCCCCATTCATTAATATCTTTGTTGGATCGCAACATAAATAGTTCAATATTACAAATACAATCAGCACAGTGTCTTTCAAAACAAGCACAAAATTAAGTATTCAATATACTTTGTATGGCATATGAATTATTGGGGGCAGGGATGAAATAAGCATCTTCCATGAAACATAGACAGTTAATGAGCACCTCTCTTCTTGTTCAATACTAGGTAACTAGCTTTTCATTTCTCCCAAAATTAAATGGAGGCTGTTATTGGGTTCGGATGGAACACTACCACCACCCAGAGTAGACCAACCTACACAATGAAACTAACATGGAACGCTAACATGAAAAATAAATAAATAAATAAATAATTCTATTTTGTTATGAGCATGAATGGAATGGTTTACAGATATCTGAATGCCACGGTATGTAACACTTTTTCAATAGAGATCAAGCCTTTTACATATAGGTCCTCAACACATTGTTTTGTATAGGAATTTGCCTTTTGCGAGGCACAACAAAACAGCAGCCAACAAATGACAAAGCATTGCTTTTCCCGTTCAATAACATCATATAAAGTATTTAAGTCCCATAGGCTCCTGTCACTCTTCAGTGATCCAAGTATTGTACATCATCATTTACCAAGCAATTGCAATGGGAGACAAAATTACTTAATGGAACAATTCAGACAAGACATTTATCCAGTATTTTCCAGCAATGCACATATCAAATGTGCTTGATTAGTGCAAAGAAAAAAATCAAGTAAATTAACTGCCTTGTCAGTCCAAGAAACATACCAATCAGTTATGTTCTACAGGACCTGGCAAGCATGTTTTTGTCATGACTAGGAGAATGGTAAAGATAAATATACTGTTTTCCTTTACTTTGGGTCCTATTGAAAGTCTTATCCACAGCTTAAAATCACATTTATAAAAGTAGTTTCCAGGACTGCCTCCGAGGATGAGTTGTGGCAGAGTAGTGTCTCATGAAGAGTATCTACACAGTAAAGTGATAAGAGAAAGAAAGTAAATTAACATTTACCATTCTTAATGGTTCTACTAATTTATGAAACATTTCAACATCATAGCAGATTCAGACTGAAAAGAGACGACTTCGGATTAGTGTTACATATCCAAAAGTATATGGAAGGAAATCAGTGTTAAGTATCATCTATTTTTGTCCTTATTCCCAGTGCATATTGAAAAAGCCATATAACTCTAGGAAATGAAGAGTGACCTTTTGGTGATATGAAAGGTTTAAATGAAACACTATATATTAAAAGTTTCTGTTTAAGAGGATTCTTAATTATATAGCATGAAGATACAAAAGATTAATCTGTGACAGTAGTATGCACGGGGATCTTGTAGCACCTTAAAAGAGACAGACAACATTGGTAGCATAAGATTTCATAGATTACACCTACATATGATGAAGTAGACTTGAGGTACATCTGCACTATAGAATTAATGCAGTTTGACACCACTTTAACTGCTATGGCTCAATGTTAGGAAATCCTGAGATTTGTAGTTTGACAGAGAAGGCCAAAGACCTCGTAAAACATTTCCACAGCATTCTGATGTCAAACTGCATTAATTCTACAGTATAGATGCATTCTCAGTCTTTGAAAGCTTATGGTATCAATTTGATTCTTTCAGCTATACTCTATGATGTAATTGAGGTTATCAGACATTGATGCCATGAGATCCCTTTGCATATAGACATTCCAAACTACCACAACGATACCTTTGAATTCTATTCCCATGTGACAGTACTGTTATGAGAAAGTTGTTTTAAAACATTCAACAGCAGGCTAATTGTGGAAGGTTTTATATACATATTTCTCAGGCCAATACTATTAAAAATTATAGCAAATCAGATTCACATATTTCATGTAGTTATTCCATGTAGTTTGTCAACATTTATAATGAGAAAACTGAATATGTCAGTTATTCTTGTTATTTGCTGTGAAATCAACTTCAACTTGTGGCAACCCTGTGAACATGAGATTTCCAACAGCTGAAGTCATCAATAGCCCTGCTCAATTTTGCAAATTCAGATGTTTCCTTCATGGAATTAATCTGTTTTTAATGAGGCCTTCCTCTTTTCCTGTTGTTTTCCACTTTTCCCAGGACTGCTGTCTTTTCCAATGAGTCATGTCATCTCATGATATGTCCAAAGTATGACAGCTTCTATGACAGCCTCAGTTAAGTCACTTTGGCTTTTTGTGAGAATTAGTAGGACCCATTTATGGTTTTTGGCAGATTGTGATGTTCCATAGCAATCTCATGACATTTCAAATGAGTTGATTCCTTTCCTGTCAGCTTTCATAATTATACATATAAACTGGAACTATGTGTCACAGGTGATTCTGACTTCGGTATTTAAATATATATCCTTGTACCTGATGGTTTTATCTTGCATTTATTCCCATTCTAACCTCATAATGTTTACAAATAGTGCCCTAGAATCCGTATCTAGATCAAGGCATTTTTGAAAACTTTAAAAATAAAGAATATTTTTCAATGTCACACTGTAAACATTCCACATCATAGGTGTAAACTGTGTGGGAATACATATATCTTTTTTGATCACAACAATAGATACATGCTAAAACAAAAGGGTGGAAATCTAATGGACAAATGTTTTTGCAGCACCAATGTTTACAAAATGCTGTGTGAACAATTAGACTGTCTCTATATTAAATTCTGAGCCAGGAAAAAGGCAGGATATTAAACAAAACAAAAAATAAAATGAGTGCAAAGCACACAACCTCAAAAGTATAATTATAGATTTATCCTTCTTTCACATATATTTAGTTCCTTCGTTCATTCCCTTCTATATCAGTGCTTCAGTCTTTATTTTGCATTCAATTAGTATCTAAAATCACTGTAAAACATCTAAAATTATGCCTTTGGTTAATTACATGATTTATTATGTATTAGCCGTCCCCTGCTACGTGTTGCTGTGCTGCAGTCTGTGTATATGTGTTTTATCTGTGTATATATGTGTGTGTATATATTTGTGTATTTATGTGTTTGCACATATGTTGCAATATATTTTTTTGGCTTTTAAAGTCTCTTCTGCTGCGTTTTTCAGTGCTTTTATGAGTGATGGTCATTTGTTGGCCTGATAGGTGTATTGTGTCCAAATTTGATGTCAATTCGTCCAGTGGTTTTTGAGTTATGTTAATCCCACAAACGAACATTTTATTTATATAGATACATGTAAAACTATTTCTCTTCATTCTTTAGGCCAAAGTCTTCTATATTAAATCACGAGAAAGGTTGTAATTTAGAGTATCCTACATACATAATCTGGCCCAATAGTTTGAGGGTGTCTGACCTGGCCCTCTGTTTCAAAAGTTTGAGGACCCCTGGCTTAATCCATCCCAGGAGAACCAAAAGGAAGCATCATTCTCCTTCTACTCTTTCTATTGTGGTGGCATTCCTGGCCTTTTTGAATGCCTAGGTGCAGAAATGGTGGTGGCAAGGGACAGAGTGGCTGGATCTCTGAGGTGGCATTTGTGTTTTCTCCTCTCTCCATGGAATGACCCTCCCAAAATTTGCCCTCAATATATACGTGACAGCAGCTTATACATGAGCATATATAGAAATCTCCAGTGAATTTAACCTTCCCAAGACAGTAATGTCCAGCAAGATGACTACGCAAATTCATAGAGAAAAAAAAGTATTATGAGCAACTACATCATAGCTACATGTTACTTACAGTATCAAATAGTATGAATCTGAGTACAAGCCGCTAGAGGCAGAGGCCAAGCATTATATATTTTTTGCTGCATGACTATTCAGAAGTAGTTTCAGATACATATATTCTGCTAAAATGGAACTGCATCTATTAGGAACATTAGGTTATCTGAGAGACTCTGGGCAGCTATAAAAACCTACCTAACCCTTATATTTACCACAAGGCCCTGTTCACATCTCCAGTAAATGTGTTAGATGATGTAGCCCTATCCTTGTGCCAGGAAATACCTACACTGGGTTTAAAAAGTGACGAGGAGAAGTTTCACATTCTGAAGCATCTCAACAGAGGGAGGATGAGAATGCATTGTTATATTTCTATCAGAAGGGTGTTACAAGTTCTCATATTCTTCCCTGTTCGCTTCCTATAGCCATGTGGCTGGCCATTATTGGAACAATTGGGAGAATGAAACTTGGGGAGAGGATAAAGAAGCGTTAGTAAAGGTGGGGAAGGGTTCTAAGAACAAAAAGGGGAAATTTTATGTGAGGGAATATAAAACAAGGGGGAGAAAAGTGAAAGAAGGAAGTGTGCACAAGCGAGATTGCTGGCAACACTTACTGCCTTCTCCACCTTCTAAGAGTACCTTGTTTGCAGTTACTGATCCCTGTGCTTTAGTTTTAGTTCTGGGAGAGAAAACCAAGAGATGGAGTTTTGTGTGCATTTATGTGTAGAGGGGTCAACATTTTCTACTTAAGAAACCATATAGAAACATGCACAGATCGCATCATTCCTAGTGACAATTTAAGTTAAACAGCATTGTAGAAGGCTATATACCTTGACAGTATATATTTGTCAGTTTGCTTTACATTATATTATATTGCACTAGCTGTTATACAGTTGGTCTTCTGTATTTACTAATTTGTATCCACAGGTGAAAACATCCATGGCTTGAAAATGCAACATTTCATTTATTATTTTTCTTCATATAAACATCTCTAAAAATGGGGTATGCCTTAGAACGATGGTGCTTTTTTATATATTATACAAAAGTTTGGTGGTACAGTCAACGACACATTAGAATTAAAGAAATATGATGTGTGTGTGTGTGTGTGTGTGTGTGTGTGTGTATGCATAATCTATATATACCTCAGGTTTCGGTGGTGACCAGGGGAGCATTTGCCCAGTTAAAGCTTGTGCGCCAGCTGCGCCCGTACCTTGGGAAGTCTGACTTGGCCACGGTAGTCCACGCTCTGGTTACATCCCATTTAGACTACTGCAACGCTCTCTACGTGGGGTTGCCTTTGAAGACGGCTCGGAAGCTCCAACTAGTCCAACGTGCGGCAGCCATGATACTAACAGGAGCGGCGCGGAGGCCCTGCTCTGATCCCGCCTGCGCACAGCACGGTTGGCGGGGACGAGGGACAAGGCCTTCTCGGTGGTGACCCCTCAGCTGTGGAACGCCCTTCCCACAGACATTAGATCGGCTCCCTCATTAATGGCATTTCGGAAGAAAGTGAAAACCTGGTTATTTGAACAGGCGTTTGAATAGGCAGTGCAATGAATTATAATGAATTATAGGAAATCGGAACAACGGATGACGAGCTTGGATTATGATTTTAGTTATGAGATGCTAATGAGTTGTTTATTGATGATTATTGATGTTAATTGCCTAGTGTATTATTGTGTTAATTGTTTTAAATGGTTTGTATGATGCTAGCATTGAATTTCTGCTGCTGTTTGTTGTTAACCGCTCTGAGTCGCCTAAGGACTGAGAAAAGCGGTATACAAATAAAGTAAATAAATAAATAAATAAAAGATGGGACGAACATCCATGCATTTAGGTATCCAATTTGGGGGGGAGGGGTTGGATGCAAACTCAAGCAGATATGTTTGAACACCTCTGGCTGTTAATAGATAGAAATAATAGAGAAGCATCATGGGTCTAAATTGCTGGCTTTGAGTATTATGCACATTGATGTGGGGAAGGGTAGGGTCATTTGCTGTTCTATGTTTAGCTGTAAAATGTCTTGGGTTGGCTCTGCCTTGCCATCTGGAAGCATATCTAAATATTGCTGTTGTATTTATTAGTTCTGTAGTTGCACCTATTGATACTAATCACAGACTAATCAGATCTGTATTAGGAGAACCGCAAAAAAAAAAGATCCAAACCAAATATTGATACTCACAATTTCAGTGTTCATGAAGAGCCACAATACCAACTAAACGACCATAGTGGGCGCATTCAATATACAACGAACATTAGTAACAGCAAGTATTTAATGAAAAATTTCCCT